TCGGAGGGAGCAAACCCCTTTGGCATCAGCCTCCTGGAATTAATCACGATAACCTGTCCCAATGAACCCATTGCAGACAGGCTCCAGAAGACTGTGCAGGGGGCCCATGGCAGGGGTCGTCCCCTCTCTGGTGCGAGGGCTGAGTGGCAGATTCGCATCCTGACTGCCTCCTCCCCTCTCCTGATGGCAGCTCGAGGCCAGGCTGGCCAGCACCACTCTGAACGGCCACAGGAAGAAGCATTCCCAGTCTCCGAACGTGGCCTGAGCCCCCAGCCCTGCCTTTCTCACGTCCCCTACACAGTGCCCGTCAGTGCTGGCAGCGCCCCAAAGCCCACGCCACAGAGCAAAGCTTTCGCTGACTCCCCCACCCGACAAGTGACTTCTCCCTGCTCAGAATCCCCACCTGCTTTGCTGGTTCTGCCAAAGTTTACGGGGTCCTCAGCCCACACTGGGCGCTGGGCCATAGTATAAAGGAGCTGTCACCCAGACCTCGGGAGCTCGGCCGGGGGAGCGGCAAACCGCGGGAGCAAGGACATGAGTGATTCGGGCTCTGCCCGCGGAAGGCCTCGCAGAGGGAGTGACCGCTGACCTGCAGATGTCTGGGCCTGTCCCATCCACTCCGCCGCTCCCACAGACAGCGTGGGTCTCCTTGCTGGCCAGCTGGCTTATTGGAGCGCCGCCTGGACGTGGAGCCGTGCTCAATGCCATCCACACCTGCAACATGGCTCTCGGCCACACTCGCACACGCACACGCACACGCACACGCACACGCAACACAGCGCAGAGTAGCCACTCAAATGTGGATGATACGAACATATAAACAAATGAATAAAGAGATGGCCGAAAGAGCAAATTACTTTTGGTTTTTTTCTCCCCAGCAAACCGTGACTCCTAGAGAGCCCAGGTCACCTCCTCCTCAGAATATGGAAAAGAAAATCTCGCCAAGAAGCAGGAGGCGGGTGAAGACACCAAGCACCATTTCCGGGCCCCCGGCCACCTGGCATGACTCTCCTGTGAGAGCAGGTCCTGGTGGCAAGGAGCTCTCGTGCAGAAGCAAATTGGGGGCTGCTCCCCAATGAACCCGGATCCGCTGTGTCGTCAGGATGATTCGGGAAGGGGGTGACAAGTCTTCTGTGTCATCAGGATGATACGGGAAGGCGGTGGAAAGTCCCCTGTGTCATGAGGACGATTTGGAAAGGAGGTGGCAGAACATGATTAAATCAGTGAATCATCAGCCCCACGACCCCAAGGACACACTTGACTCGAACACTGCGTCCCCCACACCTGGACCAGCCACCCCACTGCAGGTTGGGACACAGCAGACCCCAGGGCAGGGCCACTGACTCCTGTGCAGACAGCTTTGCATA